GCCCTTGTAACAAGTCCCTCCCCAGCTCTCCTGGAGCCCCTTTAGGCACTGGAAGGGGCTCTGAGCTCTCCCCTTTTTTGCCTTCTCCTCTCCAGGTTGAACCCCCCAACTCTCCCAGCCTGTCCTCCCAGCAGAGGGGCTCCAGCCCTCCCAGCATCTCCGGGGCCTCCTCTGGCCCCGCTCCACCAGGTCCGTGTCTCTCCTATGTTGGGGGCTCCAGCGCTGGAGCAGCACTGCAGGGGGTCTCCCCAGGGCAGAGAAGAGGGGCAGAGTCACCCCCCTTGATCTACCCAGCTGTGTCCCAGGTCTGTCACACATTTCAGGACTGAGGTCTCTGTGCTGTGTCACTGCCTGCTCTGCAGTGGGGTTTCTCCCAGAGCCTTCTTGCCAGGGGTCGTGCCATGGGTTTGCACCGTGCTCTGCACCCGGGGCCTTGCCCAGCAGCGTGGTGCCATCCTGCTCGCCGTGGAGCTGTGCACGGGCTTGGCTCACACAGCCACAGCCATGGGTTGGAGGCTACACTGGGGGGACGGGTACTTCTGCCCTCTGACTGCACACATCTCCCTAAATTTCAGTGGCTGAGAGAGGTCAGCTGTTTCTAAGCAATGCTTGTGACTTTAAGATGAGGTTTGTGTAATCCGATTTTTATGCCCAATTTTTGGTCAAAAAATTCATTTTGTAAGATGAGAGGGGAAAATGAAAACTGCTGTTTCCTGAAAGCATGGAGCATCTTGAGCCTTCAGAAGCTAGACAGACTATTTGTGGAGCTTTAGTAAAAGAAGGGGAAAAAAATAAAAGAAAATAATACTTTTAGGAGCCCCAAGACTGTAATTACCTTTAGAAACATCCAGCCTGACTTTGTGGGAGAGCCCTCTGCCATTGATACCAACTCCGCACTGGTAGGTGCCAGCTTCTGCCATTGTAAGCTGGGACATGTTAATCTGGAAGTTTTTTTCCAGTGGGTAGTCGGTGATGGAGACTCTGCCTTGGTAGCCTGGAGCAGTGTAGCCGTTGGTGGAGACAATGGTCGTGCAGCCCGTGGACGATTCCCTGCACCAATACTTTCTGTCGTGTTTGTTCACGTGGGTGGGAGGGTAAAAGCATTTCACCATAACGGACCCGTTGTCCAGACCATATACCTGCCGTGGTCCGAACACATGGCTTGAGACTGCAAGAGGAGAACACGTTGGCTGTAAATGTCAGCTGTGCTACACAACCTGGTGGGATGGCAGGGCGGGTGTACTAGGGCAAGCGTGGACCCCGGTCATGCGGTCTGACATGTCCCACAGCAGTGATGGGGTAGAGACACTCCCTCAACCCCACTCCCCCCATAGTAATGCCCCCTCTGGTCTTCGGCCACCCCCAAGACCTGTGCCTCAGGCAGGTTACACTTACTTGCTGCCTTGGGGGGGTATCTGCTGCTTGCTGGTTCAGCTGGGAGGAAGGTGAGCAGGAAGACGAATGCTAGTAAAGTCATTTTTCTGGCATTCCCTGAAAAGGCACAGAAGTTCATGAATAATCACATTTGCAAAATGTTTAAATTAAATCATCGAGTGATCTAATAATCCTCATGCCTGAAGGATATGCGGGTTGTGGCTACTTGAGCTGGAGAGAAATACAGTATTTAATCGCTTCTGTCAAACAATTGAATAGGAAAGAGGGAGCTGATAACTCTGTTCTCGCCTGTGCTGCTGCATGGCGTTGTGACTGCCTGTGGGTCTCAACCCGACACCCCAATATTCCCTTCTGTAAAACGGGTGGAGTTGTTCTTATGACAAACTCGGTTAATGCAGTGCCTACAAGCCACCAATGTGTCCGTCAGAGCAGAGCACCCCAGGGACAGTGTCCCTTGGGCAGGCAACAGCGACGGTATGCACAGCATAAAAAGCGATTTTGGCGAAACCAGAAGAGACTTGATTCAAAATCAGAAATGATATCTGGTTTGATACTTGTAAATGGGAACAGCCCACGACAAGGCTGAAGTCCAGAAATGGTCTAAAAGCCACTGAGCCCTGGCAGGCATGAGGGTCAGGTGGCAACTTGCAGCTCAACTGCTGACTTGATCCTTGCCAGGAAATAATGCTGCTTCTAATACCTGAGATCATATTTTCTTTCAATGCTGTTCATGCAGTGAAAGGAAGGATTGTTCACCTGTGAACCTGAGTGCCAAAACCACTCCTTAGACAAACCTGCTCCCACAGAATGGTTTGGGTTGGAAGGGACCTTGAAGCCCACCCAGTGCCACCCTCTGCCCTGGGCAGGGCCACCTCCCCCCAGCCCAGGTTGCTCCAAGCCCCGTCCAACCTGGCCTTGAACCCCTCCAGGGATGGGGCAGCCACAGCTTCTCGGGGCACCCTGCGCCAGGGGCTCACCACCCGCACAGTCAAAAATTTCTTCCTCACATTCAGATTTCTTCCTCACGTCATAGAGCAGAGTTCCCATCTGAAGCCTCTGTTTAATCACTGCTCTATTTTGCCCTGATCTCTTCAAGGACACACAAGAGAAAAAGGGTAATATTTTCACCTCTTTTTTTTTTTTTTTTTTTTTCCCCTTTGCTGAGCTCCGGGTAAAGTTAGTGAGATGAATGGATTTACCCCTCACCCCCACCACTCCAAGAATCAGACTTACACCAATAAAGCGCTGTCCCACCTGCATATCCAACAAGCCTACTGCACCAAAATTAACACATGCCCAGGACTCAAAATCATGGCTATGGGGAATGTCAAACCAAACTGTGTATCTCTTCAAATGTGTCTATAATCTTCAGGATTGTCCTTTCTGACCTTCCCCTTGTTTTGGGTTGGGTGATGGCTCAGAGGAAGCCAAAGCTCTTAATTCTCTAAACTGTTGTCTTTGGCCTGAACCAAGTGTGCTGTTGGATGTTGCATGGTGCCGTGGTGGGAATGTGCATTTCCTGAGCATGGCTGTTGATCTACCTGTGTACACCCAGTTCTAGAGAAAATGATAGGTGCCAAGTCTTTATAAACATTCAGAGGAATTTGATTTCAGGGTGTCAAGTGTCAAAATTTTATTAAGGGCAATTCCCGGTAGAAGAAAAAGACTTTTATTTCCGTGTTAAGATGAAAGGTGTTCTGTTGTGCTTTCTTCCTTGTATTGTGATTTCTAATTGCTCGGTGGCCACTTGTCCATGGCTAATAATTAACTCACTGAGCATGAAAAATGCTCTTTCATACACATCCCAGAAGGAGCCAGCAAGACAAACATAACATATTCAGCAGAAAGCAAACAATATGGCACAAAAAGGGCCTTGATATTTGCCCCTTGCTAACATCAGTTCCTCTGGCTGATGGTCACCTCGCTGCCCTCCCACCCCTCTCTGCAGTGCAAGCACGATCCCAGTTCAGCTTTCCCCTCCTGGGCAAAACTTGAATAATCTTAGTCTGATTCCTTCCCAAAGCAATTGGCTACTTCAGGGTTACAGGCAACATCAGTTTTTCAGGTAGGGAAGTGTTACATACACTTTTTTTTTTTTTTTAAAAAAAAAAGAAAGATATAGCTGTGTCCAGAAAGATGTGTGCGAGAGTGATGACATCAGGGTCTTCACAGGCGTGTTAAAGCAGGCAAGAATTTTTGCATCTCTGTCTCTGAGGACATGTGTGCACGTGTGCCTACACAAGAACAACGGTTCCTGTGCGCTTGTGTGACCAACATCTGCAACTTCTGCAGCTCGGAGTTGCCTCTGGTCCTGTTTTCTCAGATGTGGTTAAAACCTTCCCCCGCTCACCGAATGCATGGAGCAATGTCCATACATGTCCCACGTATAGCAAGTCCGAGCAAGCACAGCCACTGGTTACCTAAAAATCTGTGCTGTCGCTTCCATGCTGCTCCACTGAGCTGGAGGGCTGGAAACCCCCTCTCTGCTGCTGGCACTGCGTTGCGCTCCGAGTGACACGTCCTAGCCCACAGAAATGGCACAAACGAGCTTTGCTGGCCGCTCTGCAAGGAGCAAGTGCTGTCTGAGCTGCTGGAGGAGGATTTCGCCAACGTGTTGGTAAAAGAGCTCTAGTTCCTTCTTGCTTTCAAAGATTTGCTGCTGGATTTGCTGTCTCTAGTCAGAGCACAAGCTCTGAACTTCAGAGCTCCAGGGAAGAGAAAAGGCTGCCGAGCTCATATGAAAGGGAACACAAGTAAGTGGCTGTGGGAGTGATTTGTATTCACACTTCTGCTGATGGAGGGGGAGTTGGAAGGAGAAGAGAGATGGGAGAACAAAGGCTTGCAGGGGGCTATAGAAGTGTCAAGAGGTTTGAAACCAGAGGGAAATGGCATGTATGCTATCTCCGGAGCAGCTGGGAAGCAAGCTCAGGGCAAGTGTGCTGGTAGGTCTGCAGTGCTCTTATCCCGCTGTGTGCCCGGGGACGGTGTCTGCTGAAGAACCGGTGCTGGAAAGGACGAAGTGCCTGTGCTGTGCCTGAACTCCTCCTGCCACTCAGCTGCACCTTCTCACCCATCTATTCTAACTTTTCAGGAGAAGAGAAAGGGGAAAAAATAGTGCTCCTTTGTTTTGTATTGGTGAAATCTTTCCTGGAGCTGGCAGTGGAGGCAAGAGTTCATTTTGGGCTTCATATACGTGCACTCTATCTGGCAGCACCACCTGCTGCAGAGAAAGCTGCAAAAATCTTCACTAGGCAGTGATGCCGTGACTGGTCCTGAGGGGTTTCCTGAAGTCCTGGTGGGGTTCTGGTGGTGGGCATGAAGCACGAGGCTTGCACAGTGCTCCCACAACCTTCCAGCAGAAGCTGCGTTTGGTCACCCCGTATGGGAACAGTCACACTGACTTTGCAGACAACTGATGATCCTCCACCAGTTTTTCCTGGGGGCTGCGTGATGTGGCTGGTTTGGACTCAGTTGCCACATTGGGTTCTCCTCTGCTTGTGTCCACATCTCCTCCTTCCCGTTCTTGCAGGCACTGACCTGCCTGCCCGCGTGCCTGTGCTGGATTTCTGATTGTTCTCGGAGCAGGAGGACTGAGCATGTGAGACCACGGTGTCCCCATGGGGTTATGAACACTGGAAACCTCTCCTGCAGGGAAAACCTGGTCCTACCACACCACAACAGGCCGGGTCGCCAGGACCTTGTTTGGTGGCCGATGTGTGTGGCACTGTGCAGGTCGGTGCCTGCAGCCCACTTTGCGTGGCCATCAGAGCTGCCGGGCAGGGGGGTCGCAGAGTCTGACGGGCTGAGAGAAACCTGGACACGCTATTTGTGCCTCTTACGTCCATGAAGGAAAAGGAGGTGCTGATTCTGATGCTTTGCACCAGCGTTTTAAGCTGTCTTAAGCCCGATGCATTAACACCTAGTGAGGAACTGTCTGCGGAGCGGTGCGATGGACTGGTCAGGAGGGAAAGCAGGGAGAGAACCCAGTTATTCCCACTAGGAAGGTGTCTCCAAGAAGCTGCTCTGCAGCGCGGGATGAGGGAGCGGTGGGTGGGAAGCGTGGGGCTGGCAGCGCTCTGGGCGACCGCCTCCGTCAGCATTTTGGGCTTCGGTTGGCCCGCACTGAGGGGTCAGCGGCTGGCGAGTGCGGGCTGTCTCTGTGGCTAGTTTAAAACATTTTGATAGGTGAAGGGGGTCGGGGGGGGAAGGAAAACCTTGTGTTAGCTCTCCCCCTCTCCCCTCGCGGCACAGGACTTGCAGAGAAGCAGCCGTGGGGAAAGCTTTCGGCCACATGGACGTGCGTGTCTGGTGTTTGCAAAGTCCCCCCTGTGCCGAAGGGCCATGTCCCCTCCTGGCACAAACCCCTCATTCCCTGTTGCAACGGTGGTCCCCTCTGGATTATTATCAGCTGTGAACTGGGGCTGTGCTCCTTTTTCTTTGGGTTTTTTTTTTTTTTTAGATACAACTCAAATCTTGGGTTTTTTGAACTTTCATTTTGTATCATCAAAACTGCCAGCCTGCCTCTCCTCCCTGTCCCAGCGTAACAGGTTTTGAGGATTTAGAGCACAATACCAGTACTACAGCTGAGCTCCGCAGGTGGGAGTTTGCCTGTTGGTGCACGAGCTTTCCACCCGTAACCCATGCCTGTGGACACCAATGTCACCAAGATCAGGGCGATGGTGGTGCCTCATCTGGGACGCTTTGCCAGGCGGGGGTGGCTCCGTGCTCCCTAGCTGTTTGCAATGTGCTGGTGTGTTCGTGTGTACAACACAACAGGGATTTCAAAGAATTATATTGTACAAAACCAGAACAGGATAAGCTAATCATTAGCAAGATTAATACTAACAATACAAAATATTTAGTTGTAATATGCTTTACAACAGAAGACTGAGCCATCACCAGGTGAATGGCATTAACTTTCTCCCAGTCGCCTGTTTCCATGCTCAGGTTGAGTCACCACGTTCGTGACCAAGAGCTTGGGAACCGCTGCCGAAACCCCCACCGAGCGCGACTGTGCACGTGTGCGAGTGCATGAGAAACTTGGAAAGTGTTTGAGCCTTAATAAAACCCAACTATATACCT